TATTTTGAACTCAGCATCTGTTAGGTTGCTTATCTCCATTTCGCTTAGTTCTTTTCCTGGGATTTTGTTCTGTTCTTTCATTTGGGACGTGTTTCTTGTCTCCTCATTTTGGCTGCCTCCCTGTGTTTGTTTCTGTGTCTTAACAAGAGGTAGGGGCTATCTGAGACCAGATGCTGCTTGTTTGAAAGAATTTAGGAAAAACCTGAAGCAGGATCCAAGAGAGGCCAATCCTATGGTTAAGCAAGTGGCAACAGCTTGGGTGGGCCTGAAAGTTGGGTGGGGCGGATTTCAGGGAATCACCAGGGCAGGGCAATCAGTGTGAGCCAGGTTGCTGGAGTCCCAGATATGGCGGCTGTCTGCCGCCCCAGGGAAGGGCTCACCAAAGGAACAAAGGTCTCTGACAGCACGTTTGTCCCGGAGAAAGCCCCCTCTCCAGCCCTCACTCCAATGCCAAACAGCTCAGTTCTTCCCTGTATGTCTCTGGCACCCTTCAAGCTGCCTCCCCTCCAAGCTTAGGGGGAGAGAGTCCGATAAGTTCATGTGCGCGGGCCCTTTAAGAGGAGCTGCCTGGGGCTCCAGCTGCCTCAGCCTCCCTGAGCCTCAGTTCCTTCTGGTTTTTCCAGCCAGAACTGGGGATTTCTCTTCCTGGCACTGCAACCCTGAGCGGGGTGCCTGGTGTGGGATGGCGACCCCTCTGTCCTCAGGGAGGACCTTCCCAGCCGAGGTAGCCTCCTGATTTTTATCCGCCACATGTGGGTGTGGGACCAGCCTCTCTGCCTCCACCTGGAGGCAGCTAATTGATGTCTCTCTCTCACATCATTTCTCTCTCTCTCTCTCTCTTCCCCCCCCTTCTTCTCTCCCTCCCTCCCAGTCTGTCCGAAGATAAATGGAAAAATATCCTCAGGTGAGGATTTTTAAAAAAAGGAAAGGAAATTTGAGGCAAGATGGTGTTTTATTTTATTTTTTTATCCTCACCCGAGGACATTTTTCCATTTTTTGTACAGATAGAGTGGGAGGGAGAGAGAGGGAGAGAGAGAGAGAGAGAGAGAGAGAGAGAGAGAGAGAGAGAGAGAGAGAGAAACATCGACGTGAAAGGGACACATCAAGTGGCTGCCACTCACACAACCAACCAGGGGCGGGGACAAACTGCAACGGAGGTACGCGCCCTTAGCGGGAACTGAACCCGGGTCTCTCTGGACCGCAGGCCGATGCTCTAACCACTGAGCCAAACCGGCCAGAGCAGAGGCAAGATGGTGTTTTATTATGGCCCTATTAGGCCATCCAAGTGGAGAAGACTTACATGCAAAAGAGAGCTGGAGTTAAAAATTTGGAAGCCCATATAGGGAAATTATTGAAGCTGTGGGCCTTTTAAAAATTATTTTTTCTCATCATTATTGTGCTAATTAGAAATTTATTATAGATACGCCTTTTTGTTTGTTTAATAAGCAGAGGCTAAGGTCCACAATTTAGAGCTCTTTAATAGGAGAGGATTGTTAAAGATGAAGGATCAAGAAAATTTTATAATATAATTTGAAAATAATCATTTTGTCTTTGAGGAAATGATTTAGGTTTGAGGTTTCAAGTGACTTAATAAATTTAAATAATGTGGCCCTGGCTTGTTTGGCTCAGCAGTTGGAGCGTCAGCCCATGGACCAGAGAGTCCCGGGTTTGGTTCCCGCTAGGGGCAGTACCTCGGTTGCAGCTTGTCCCCGGCCCTAGTTGGGGTCGTGTGGATGGTGACAACTCGATGTGTCTTTCTCACATCGATGTTTCTTTCTCTCTCCCTCCTGCTCTATATGAAGATAAATGAAAAAAAAAAAAAAAATTCCTCGGTGAGAAATAAAAAAAAGTTAAAATAATATGATACTTTTTTCCTAATTAAAGTATAACATTTATACAAGTAAGTGCATAAAATGCACAGTTCCATGATTTTTTCATGAATGTGTACATTCTTATACCACAATCCAGATCAAGATCATCTCTAGCTCCTTATAAAGTTACCCTGCAATATTTTAACCCTAGTTTTTATTCTACAAGTTTTTAGATCACTGTGTAAACTTAGCATGGGAGAACTCTCCCTCTCCTTGGCAAAGCCCTGTAAGCTGTAGAATCAGAAGTCCATAAAGAAGAATAAAAATCAAAATTTGGCTTTCCAACTAAATGACTTCCGCAAAGAAGAGTGGCTAGAAGAAGGGCCATTCTGCCATCAGTGAGATAATGACAATGTGTTAGAACACACTATCAACATTCACAAGTGCATTTATGGAGTGGGTTTCAAGAAGCATGCCCTTCGGGCACTCAAGGAGATCCGGAAATGTGCCGAGAAGGAGATGGGAACTTCAGGTGTACAAGTTGACATCAGGCTTAACAAATCTGGGCCAAAGGAATAAGGAATATCCCACACTGTAACTGAGTGCAGTTGTCCAGAAAACATAATAAGGATGAAGATTCACTAAACATGCTCTATACATTGGTCACCTATGTACCTGTCACTACTTAAAAAAAATCTACAAACGGTTCGTGTGGATGAGAATAACTGCTAATTGTTGAATAAAGTTATTAAAACTGCAAAACAAAATGTCAAAACCTGGTTTGAATTTCATAATGTACAGTGTCTCTCTTATTATTCTCACCTTACACTACCTTCAAATTTTAAAAAATGGAAATAAAGTAAACCCCTCAATTTTATGTCTTTTTTGAAACAGCCTAATACTATCCCATCTTCTCTAGTATTTCTGAGAAATGAAGACTGAGGAGAGGATGGCAGAACTGGAAAGTCTTGTTTTATAGTGGGTTTCATTATGGTGTGTATCTGTGTTACTACTGTCTGTCTTCCAGATTATTTGGTTCTATAAAAAATGGACTGTTTCTCTAAGTTGGGAATAGTATCTATCTCCTTGATTAAATATGTTTGATTTTTTGGTTTGTTAATCCTCAACTGATGATATATTTTTTTCCATTGATTTTTAGAGAGAATGGAAGGGAAGCAGTAGGGAGAGGAGGGAGGGGGAGAGAGAAACATCAATATGAGAGAGAAACATTGATTGGTTGCCTCCTTCACACACCCCAGCCAGGGTCAGGGATCCCACCTGCAACTCAGGTACATGCCCTTGACTGGGAATTGAACAATAACCCTATAGTGCATGGGCTGATGCTCTAACCACTGAGCGCACTGGCCAGGGCTGATTTTTTTTTAAATTATGCCTTTTGGGGGAGTTTTTGTGGGACTGACAGACTATCCCTGTCTGTGGATGTAGTTCTATCTCTGTCACTTATCTTCTTTTATTGATCTGTAAACCATCTGGAATAGTAAAATGTTATGTTTCTTTGAAAATTTGTATTGAGAAATAAACTATACATATAAAGAAAAAATATAGTTAAAAGAATAATTATAAAAGAAACACTCATATACCTACTACATAGGCCAAGAAATAGAATATAACTATACCCCAGAACCCGCCCTGTGCCCCTTCCTGATTGAATTCCCTCCCTCCCTTCCTCAGGCATTCACTAGCCTAAATTTTGTAATAGTCACTTCGTTTTTTAGTTCTATAAACTACATGTAGACATCAGCATCTGTATAAATACATATATATGGTTTAAAAGTATATGTATTTAAATTGTATATCAATGGAATTATATTGTAAACATATTCTTTTGTGACTTGCTTCTTTTACCCAGTACTGTGTTTTGTTTTTTTTTAATCCTCAACAAAGGACATTTTTGCATTTATCTTTAGATAGAGCGGGAGGGAGAGAAGGGGGAAGAGAGAGACATCGACATGAGACTGGTTGCCACCCACATAACTCCAACTGGGGTGGAGACAAATTGCAACTGAGGCATGTGCCCTTAGCAGAAACCAAACCTGGGACACTCTGGTCTGCGGGCTGATGCTCTAACCACTGAGCAAAACTGGGCTGTGCTTTTTTTTCAATCCTCACCTGGTTTTCCATTTATTATCAGATAGAGTGGGAAGAAGGGAGAGAGGGAGAGAGAAACATCTGTGTGAAAGAGACACATCAACTGGTTGCCACCCGCACGACCGCAGCCGGGACCAGGGACAAACCACAATCGAGGTACATGCCCTTGACCGGAATTGAACCCAGGACTCTTTGGTCTGCGGGTTGATGCCCTAACCACTGAGAAAACCGGCCAGGGCCAATATTGTGCTTTTTTGACTCTTCTAGATTGAGGTATTTTGCTATATATAGTTCATTCATTTTCATGCTGGATAATATTCTGTTGTCTGCAAACACCATGGCCTATTTACCTATTTTACTGTTTATGGGTGTTTGTCTATTTTTTTTTTCTATTAAAAATAGTGCTGCTGAAAATATTTTTTAATATGTGCAAAAGTTTCTGTAGGGTATATACCTAAAAGTGAAAATACTAGTTTCTACAGTAAGTATATATTCAAGTGTACTCCATGATGACAAACTTTGTAAAAGTGGTTTTACCATTTATCCCTTCCACTGGGAGTGGATGAGAGTTGCTATTGCTTTGCTCCCTTGTCAATACTTGGTATTGCCCAACTTTTTCATTTTAACCAACCTGGTCGTGAACTACATTAAATTAAAACTCTTTGTGGTATTAATTTGCATTGTTCTGATTGACATGAGATTGAACATCTTTTTATGTTTAGGGGTCATTCATAAATGTGCATCCTCTCCAGTGACATTCTTTCTCAGTTATTTTGTAAATTTTCCTGGTAGGTTGTCTTTTTCTTATCGATTCACAGCAGTTCTTTATTATATTCTGGATGTTAATCCTTTTTCACAGTAATATGTGTTAAAAATAAACCTGTTTCCTTTTTTATTCTGCAAATCTAGACACCCAAGGAGAGAGATGCCTTGCACAAACCTAGAGAGTGAAACCATTGGCCAGGCTTCTATACTAGGCACTCTAGTGAAATAGCCATGAGGTCTGCAGGCCCTGGCACTTTGGGGTGAATTATATTGTAGTTACTGGCTGCTGCTGACCTGTGGTACTTGCCTTTACAGGTGGAACAGGAGGATTTTGTAATGGAAGGGCATGGCAAGACTCCACCTCCTGGTGAAGAAAGCAAACAGTGAGTCACACTTTATTTAAAAAGGGTCTTATTACAGATCTTCAAAAGCACTTTGGTTAAACAGGCTGAGAGCATGTTTGCAGGGATGTATATGTTAGGCACATTGTGGAACTTACCAGTTGCTTTGGTGCTGTTAATGCATTGTTTCTATTTATAGACAGACTAACTGGAGAGACAAGAAAGTTGGCTTTGTAGTTTCTCATACTCAACTAAACAAAACTTATGTTACACTTTAGCAAAGGCTTTAAGGCTCAGGATGTTCCAAATGGAGCTAATTCAGTCTGGTTGATTTCCAAAGAAAGCATAAAATTGTATATCCTTTACTTAGCAATGTCTTTATGAAGTGACAAAATTAATAGGCTGTTTTCCTGCATTCCAAGTGAATTTATTTGAATAATACTTCCTGAAATTATATTCCATTGTGTTATTTATACTTATGATCTTTGTTTAAATCACAAATTGTTTCCCTAAAGGAATAGGAATTATAAATAATGTAATTTAGCCAACATTCTAGTTAATTCAGGATCTCTCCCTTCCTGACTTAAAAGTGATTAAGTTTTAAATCTGAAATTGGGAGTCCTCTGGGTAGCTTTTGGTGGCAGTGAGTAGATTTTTTTTGCTCTCTGTCACAAAACTTGAAAAATTGTGTTGCAGAGCATACTCATGTTTCATATGTCCTTTTAGAGAAAAAAATAGTTAAGACTGGCTGAAAGGACTGACATAACTACTATTTTTTTATTCAGACAGTAGTCTACTAAGTTAAATGATTCAGTGATTCATGGAACTTACCGAAAATCTGGAGAGAAACTTCGTTTTCTCGCCTTTTTTATTTCCTAGAAAATAGTTTTTAGTTTTAGTTTGTCTTATGAAAATTATGTCTTCAAAACCCTTAGGAATGAATTATACAGAATAGCTATGCTGCCACGTGGCCAGGTTCATTAAAGGAGAGTGTTCATCTCATATTTGTTGTGAATGGAAACCAGGATATTTTCACAGCTGGTTTAATTTGCTAACCAGGCAGTATTAAAAATAGCTTACAGCCCTGACCGGTTTGGATCAGCAGTTGGAGCGTTGGCCTGCAGACCAGAGAGTCCCAGGTTCGGTTCCCACTAGGGGCACATACCAAAAAAAAAAAAAAAAAAAAATACCTTACAGTATAAATCCTAACTTTGCTATATTCTGTCAAATGCACTTATATTGTACATGGGCTGATATAATCAGTTTATCTTTAACAAATTAGAATACCAAATATCTAGTCCCAGCAGAATTATAGGAACACTTCAGGTGCTTCTTTCTGCCCCTCTGCCTACTCCCCAAATCCTACACTCTGGTCAGAGGTCTTTATAATATAAAAATCATAGTTCCCATTTGAAAAGGGTTTTCTGTGTACAAAGTAACTTTACTCATTACAGTGCCTCCGTTTAATTCAGAGATCACAGTAGCTAATTCACCCATTAATTGCAGCTTGAAATGGAAGTTAGGATTTGAACCCAGGTCTTTCTGACTTTTAAGTGTTTTATAATATCTCTTAAACACAAATTCTTTGTCATCCTTGGGAGCTATGTTCCTGAAAAGTACTGTGGTTAGCAAAATGCAATTATCAAGATCAAAGTCTCATGGATAAGAGGGAGGTGGGGGAAACAATAAAAATGGCATTAAGCCTATTTTTAAAACACAGATGAAAGTTCTGTTCTCTGGAGAGTATCCATTTCTCAGACAAACCAGTCTTTATCTTTAAAAACCTGCTCCAGTAACCCCTCTCCTGAAGGGTATTCAGGAAACATTGCTGGGGAAGATTCTCCCACAAGTTTTATGTTATACAAACTGCATTTCTTTTGGAGAGAGCTCCAAACAGCTGCAGTGGACCTGAAACATCATGGGTTGTATCCTTACCATTTTCTCTTGCTTTGTATTCACAAGTCTTATATTGCCTTTCACAGATGAATCCTTTTTTTGTTTTTCTGGGCTTGGTCTGCTATCATACATTGAAATGATAAAGCAGAACTGAATCTTCTCTTTAGGCATTTTTTCTATAGACCTAACCACCTCTTCTGTGGGGGTGAGGACCAGAGGTGCTGCATTCTTGTTTGAGGCAACAGAAATACTTTTTTTTTTTTGTATCTCAGAACTGTAGTCAGCAAAGGATGATTGAATCCTGAATTGGAGCATCTATATTGTAGAACCTGAAAGTAACACATTGCTGAATGACTTAATGGAAATTCCTGTTCTTTTTTTTATTAATTATAAAAGTAATACATGATTGTCATAAAACATTTAAAAGGTAAATGTGGATTTAGAAATAAAAGTGAGCCCTGGCTGGTTTTCTCAGTGGTTAGAGCGTCGGCCTGCGGACCAGAGAAACCAGGTTTGGTTCCTGCTAGGGGCATGTACCTTGGTTGCAGTTGGTCCCAGGCCCCAGTTGGGGTTGTGTGGGTGGCAGCCACTTGATGTGTCTCTCTCACCTCGATGTTTCTCTCTCTCTCTCTTCCTCCATCTTTCTCTCCTGCTCTATCTGAAATGCAAAAATGTCCTCGGGTGAGTAGTAAAAAAAAAAGAAATAAAAGTGAGATATTTCTTTTATGCTACTTCCCCTCCTAATCTTCCTAAATATTTTCTATATATTTTAAAACAACTAGATTTTTTCTGACATAATTCTTCTGAAATATACTTCGTAATTTGAACCCTTTTGCAGTCCATTTCATTATTTTAAACATCTGTGAAACATTCTGTTGAATTGATGTACTATACTTATTCTTCTCTAACAGATATTTTGGTGGCCTTCACTTCTTTGATTATTGTAAATAATATATATTTTTAATCCTCACCAAGCATATATTTTTATTGATTTTTTTAAATTTTATTTATCTTTATTGATTTTAGAGAGAGAGAGAGAGAGACATCCATGAAAGAGACCATCGACTGGCCGCCTCCTGCCTGCCCCCCCCCCGGGAATCATCCATATTCATTGCAGCATTATTCACAAAATGCAAGAGTTGAAAGCAGCTTAAATGTTCACATGGATAAAGAAAATGTAGTACTTGCATATAATAGAATATTATGAAGTCTTAAAAAAGAAGGAAATCCTGCCATGTGCTACAACATGGATGAAATTGAAGGATATTATGTTGAGCAAAATAAGCAAGTCAGAAAGGACAAGTACTATATGATTCCACCCATATGAAGTATCTCAGTCAAAATCATAAAAAATAGAAAGGTGTTTGACAAGAACTAGGGGGAGGGAGGATAGGGAATTAGTATTTAATGAGTATAGAGTTTCAGATTTTCAAGATGAAAACATTCTAGAGATCTGTTGCAAAACAATTCATATATACCTAACTACTGAATTTCATACTTTAAAATGGTTAAGATGTTAAATTTAATGTTATTTGTTTTTTACCACAGTAAAAAAAATATAACAACCAAATTGAAATACACTTAAAATGCAAAATACAGCCTGGTATAAAATGTACCAGATACCTTTAGAACAATAACAACAAAAGAATGTAAAATTAATAACTTTTACAATTGATTTAATGTTGAAATGATAATCCTTTGTGTATGTTGTATAAATAAACCATATTAAAACTAAAAGTAAAAGTCTCATTTAATAGTGTGTTTTATAGACAGTATCCCCTTTTTAGGGAGTGTTGATAGAATTTTTTTTTTTGGTATGTGCCCCTAACGAAAACCGAACCTGGGACACTGATCTGCAGACCAGCGCTCCAACTGCTGAGCCAAACCGGCCGGGGCGATAGAATTAATTGTCTCAGTTCCTATATTTCTGTTCCCTTGGGATGCCTTTTTGTTTGTTTGTTTGTTATTTCCCTTTTAAGGGAGAATCTTAGAGTTTGCATGTGAGTCCTATGAGGAGATCAAAGTGTTGAAGACAGTTTTATATTGATTCAGAGAGAAGAATGTAATTTGTGGAGTAAACACTGCTCTTCATTCCCCAGCGTGGTGTAATATAGCTTTGTGCTTGAGGTGCTGTTTTTTAAAATGTCTTAACTCTAATGTCTTGATTAAATTCTCATCTCACTAATTACATTTTTCCCAACTTAAGTGCCTAGTTATAAAATGCCCTTTTAATTTTTCTCAATTATTAATTATACAGACCTTCCATAAGTTCTAACAGTTTGTCCTTACCTTATCTTTTTGTTGTTGTTGTTGATTTTAGAGAGAGAGGAAGGGAGAGGGAGAGAGAAACATCAACGAGAGAGAACATTGATTGACTGCCTCCTGCATGCCCCCCACTGGGGATTTGGCCCACAATATGGGCATGTGCCCTGACCAGGAATCAGACCAGCAATCTCTTGGTACATGGATCAACACTCACCCAAGGAGCCACACCAGCTGGGCCCCTTATCTTTATTTCTGTTCCTACTCTAATTCCTTAACCTATAGCTCTGTTTTCCTTGGATTCATCTTGTACTGAAGTTTATCCTCCCCAAATCTCTATAGTAAGGATTCCTTTTATTAGGATATTCTTTGTTTCATATTTGACCACCCAGTTTAACCATTCTTTGAAGTTCTTGGTTAAAAACTTTGGGCAGTTCAACCTGGTCAGTTGTCTCAGTTGGTTGAAGCATTGTCCCATACACAAAAAGGTTGTGGATTCAGTTCTCAATTAAGGTACATACCTAGTTTTCAGGTTCAATCCCCAGTCAGGGCGAGTGCAGGAGGCAACCAATTGATGTCTCTCTCTCTGTCTTTCTTTTTCCCTCCCTCCCTCCCTCCCTCTCTCCCTCCCCCCACCCTTCCCCTCTGTAAAAACCAATAAAAACATATCCTCAGGTGAAGACTAAGGCAAAAAAAAGTGATTTCTAAATCACTTATAGATAATTATCATCAAAACACAAGCTTTGGTATTTGGTCATAGGAAAGGTTGTTTTTGGTGTTTTGTTTTGTTTTTACATTTTATTTACTGCATTCTACCATCAGATATTTACCAGTTTTTTTGTTTGAACCATTAAAATTGTAAATGTTGAAATAAAATTAAGTAC